ATGGGGTAGGCGAGCATGGTGGCAACATCGATGCGGCCGAGCGTGGTCAGTTGATTCCGGGCGGGGGCCTTCAGGGAGCACCAGTCGGTAGTAGCCTCCGTGATCAGGATGCCCACTTCTTGCTGGCAGCACTCGAGCATGTAGGCCCGCACGGAGACGTAGGGATCGATCAAGCGCCAATCCGATCGCAGGGCCCAACCGGCCTCCGCCCAGGCCTCCCGAAGGAGTTGTACCGGGAGGGTGGCTGGCAAGTCGACCCTTCCGCTGCGAGCCACAAGCATGCGGGTCGCCCTGTCAGTGGCGGCCGGATCAGAACGAGAGAGGAAGGATCTCAAGCTCTGCACGCGGCGCCTAAGGAAAGCCTCGAAGACAAGCGTGGTGGTCCGCGAGCCCGCCAGGAGGCCAGGCGAGTAAGAATTGCGTTTGCCATCCGCCGTGAGCCTGGCAGGGCCCCAGAGCTTGGCACTTGTGGATGCAATCTGGGACTCAGCCAGAAGGCAAACTCCCGGGTGCCACTCGGGCCGAACGAAAGGTGGGGATAGGGAAAGGGGAGGTTACGAAATCTGCTGCATGCAGCTGGCTTCGCCCCCGCCGCCGGGCCCATTCCATGATACATGGGCGCCTCATGGCGCCGGGAGGCGCCGGGAGAGTCAGCTACGTGAGCTGATTCTCAAACCCCCCCTTTGCTAGCCCCCCTTTCGCCCAGCCCGAGCCACCTCGCGAGAGACAGCCTCCCGGGGGATCCTGCACCACATGGTTCCCGGGTGGGCAGTGCCAACATGCACTGCGCAATGCATTTTCCACCACAGGCTCGTTGAACAAAATGCACCCAGGTCCGTGCCGAACAAGAGGGTCGCGAACCTCAGCAGCCGTGAGAAGGGGGGGCCACGCACGCAGCTTCTGCGCCCGTCAGCGACAAGAACTGAACCAGGATGGCGGATAAACTGTCCCGGTACAGGCTCGCACAGGGGGCAGCGAACATATCGCGAAAACCTCAAGCGCAGACAAAGAAGTCGAAAACATTTCTAGAGGAAGCCGTACCAAGAAAACCAAAGTGCTTGCATTTGTTGGGAGCCAGAAACACCTCATATAGCAACACAGAGAATGTTTACCATCACACCTTCAGGGAAGCATCACACGGCTACGATCACGAAGCAAGACAATTGGGCATACTGTATAGAACACCTCGCAACAAAATCGAAGAGTCGTCGTACCACAAAAAATGCCGGGACAAAATTGCAAGCCCTGGCTTTATTCCGAATTCACGGACTGGCGGGATAGCGTGCCAACCAACGATCGTTATGACCAAACATTTGTATGAGGCCACTGGAGCGTGAGATCGTCCGTCAAAAAAAAGACATGGTAGATTACGTGCACGCATCCACGCTATGCCGTCTGGCCCTCAGGCTGGCTTGTCATGCGATAATCGACAAATAGTTTCATCCATCCTCTAGACACTTTCTACCAACCCCTGTGGCCGGGAAGCACAGTCTCGCCTCCGCAACTACGTTCACCTTCGGCATGCCTCCCAGTAGTTGCATGCCTCCCAGTAGTTGCATGAAAACGGCAGGGTCCCAGAAACCCACAGGGTCTTGCACGCCCAGCTTGCTTTCGAACGCGCGCAGCTGGGACCCGGTGTAGAGCGCCCAGTCGCATCACGCGGAGCCGGTCAAACCGTCCTGGGAAAACATCCCGATGATAGCCGTCATTTGCCACTGCCACTGCGGGAGGGATGTAGGCCTCCTCGGCCGCCCTCCTTCTCCCCCGCGGACCCCGGACCCCTGCCCCCCGACCCCCCGAGGGCGGACCCCCCCCCCCAGAGCCCCAGAGCAGGAGAGGTGAGAGGGGGAGAGAGGGCGACGAGGAGGGATTGGGTGCAAAGGGCCCCCTTCATGACCAGAAACCCATACTGGGAATGATGGCTCATCATCGGGATCTCAGACCCTGTGGCACCCGTCCTGGAAGAACATGCCGATGATAGAAGCACGCCCGGGAATTCGAGTATTGGCGCATTAAGGACAGAAAAACAATGTGCCCATACACACGCACCCATACGACACACGCTCAAGATGCAGACTCTGATACCAACTGTGTAGTGGAACATGTACATATACAAAAGGACATAAAAGCTAATGTGTCCATACACACGCACCCATACGACACACGCTCAAGACGCAGACTCTGATACCAACTGCGTAGTGGATTCTCTGATACACGTGCACACGCAGACTCAAAGACCAGAAACACGTACGAGACACGCGCAAAAGCCCGAGGCCCCCATCTTGCCAGACACCATCGATAATCGTGTGCCGCCCTTGCATCAAAGCCTACACCCCTCGTGGCTCTTCCCGCAGCAGCACGGCAGGCGCACCCGTCGGCCAGGAAAGGGGTGCAAGTCCCCTCGTCATCAGGGGTACAAGTCCCCCCACCCTTAGGAGGCAGTTCAAGGCCACCTCCCAGCGCAAAAGGGTGACCCGAAGGGCGACGACGACCCGGCTGACAAGTGGCCCCCGCGCCGCTTGACTTTGGATCATCCCCTCCCGCCCCCGTGCCCCCACCTCCCTCCCCAACCAACCCGCCCGATACACGAAAAGGTCGGGAGACCCCAACTCGGTGATGTGCACCGTCGCAACATCAGCAGGAGACACCGTAGGATCAACGACGAGCCCGGACCAAAACGCGTATCCCAAGCCACCCGACCTCCGGTGATCAGGCGGAAGCCAGTTTCACTCTGCCCGACGTGAAGGGGTGGACTCCAAAAAGGAATCCGAACCGCCCCAGCACGTGCATGGCAGCGAGCCGTGCCCGCCCGCCCCGCGCGAGAGGGCGCCTACACGTTGTGGTGTGGGAGACCTGAAAGATCGAAACCGAGCCCACGAGCAGGGGAGTGCAGCTCCACGCCACCCTGGAACGCAGGTACACGTGGGGCGACGTGAAAAGGCAATCAGGCCGAGGGTAACCCGATTGCTTTCCCGCCGTGGGGGTGGCCGCCCCGGAGCGCCAGCCCATTGCCATGACACGCTGTACACCAAGCACCCTCGGGCGCTCGCGGAACGTTGCCCCCGGCCCAACCGGGAGGTTTGGGCATTCACGGGCCGTACAGAACAACGCACGCACCGAGGGCGCAATACGCTCCCGTCCGACTCGGCGGTCTATGGACGCGCCGGTGTGGTTGGCGGCCACACCCAGCACCCCGGCCCCGGGAGCGGGGCGTAGGCCGGTAAGGACTACGGGCGCGCCCCTCGACACCAGAGACACCTCACGTTCATACAAGGGAATCACAGCACCGCACAGCACCACACCGCAGACGTCACTGGATCACAAGACCCCCCAGCCCAAGCACGGCACACTGTTCGCACTGTCTCTGGTAAGCGCGATACACTGTGTATTGGATTTTCTGACACCTCGAAAAACTCACGCACGCGCAAAACAACACCCGCGCAAATACGCACGCGCAACATGTACATTTACAAACACACGTCCAATACTCGTAGTCCCGCCGTGCCGATAGCCGTCATCGCAAGGCGACCGTTGGCAGTCTCCGCCGCCAATTTCTGTTTCTCCCTAGCGTCACTGGGCGTCAGCATCCGTTAAGGACGCCCCACCCCCAGCATCGTGCGTATGCACCTGATGTACGGCAGGTTCGCGTTGTGCCTGCGCGGCGGCGACCCCAGCGCGGGCGTTCAAGATTGAACATCCTCTGTGGCCCCGAGTTTGCCGACACCGAACGATCCGCGCCATCGTAAAGCCGTGAACCTTCCAGGTTGAACGATCCACGCGGTGTCAGAAGCCACCGCACGAGTCGTTACGTCACGAATTTGCAGCACGTCTTCGTCAGCCTGCTCTTGTTCGTCCACCCCGAGCGGAGAGCTACCCGACTGACCTGCCGCGCACATCCACCGCAGCATTCGGGGGCGTGATCCAGCTTAGCCGCAAGGTTGTAGCGCCAAGCGGCCATGACGTTGTTGTGTTATCAGGGGACACGTTAGAGGTTGCCAGAGTGCGTCGTCACGTCCTGGCGACGAACGCCCTCACACGGCGTATCCCCGCGCCGCAAACGCTAAGAGCGGGCTAAGGTAGTCCGCCTCGCATGCGCTTCCCCCCACCCCACCACCGGGATAGGGGTTATTATTTGGTCATCGTTATTCTGCTTGTTGATTCGTTTGATTTTCTGATGTGTTGTTGATCTCTGGAGGCGTTTTGGCACTTCAGGCACCTCTTGTGTTTGTGTGCGGGGGCACACGGGCATGCAGGCCCGCCAGCACCAGCCATTCACAGGCATGAACAAGCTCGTTGTGCCACGTGCGTGCCCATTTGCGAAACAGATGGGCAAGAATGGGAGTAGGAGGAGGAGCATGAGGAGGAAGAGGAGGACGAGAGGGAGGGAGGGAGGGAGGGAAGGAGGGAAGGAGGGAGGGGGGGAGGTTGGAGGAGGAGGAGGAGGAGGAGGAGGATAAGGAGTAGGAGGTGGAAGTGGGAGGAAGAAGGAGGCGAACGAGGCAGAGGAGGTAGGGCAAGAGCAGCAACACTGGCATGTGAATGCACGTGTTGATCATGGTGCGACTTCGAATGCACGAGGGGAAACTCCGCAGTACAAATAGGAGCTCCGCAGCAACGCTGACGCGCAGCAATGCCATGGTGCTACACGGTTGTAGCGGTGCGTCTTGGGACCATGTTCTTTCACAGTGTCCCGTTGCAGGGTTCAACAGTGGCGAAAGATTGGCCGCCCCAGCAGCCCTTCGGACACCATTGGCCGTGGCCCTGGATGTTTGCGTATGGCTGTCCAAAATGAGCTCTTCCATGTCATTGCGCGTCCAAATTTCAGTCACAACGACGGTACTCCGCAGCCCACGCGCTCTGCATTCGAATACGAAGCGGTTTCACAATCGTGTGTATCGTTCAGACGCTGACCTCCCCCCTCATCGTCTCCGTGTTATTGATCCTCTCCCTCCTCGCCGGCTCAAGCTCTTGTTCCATGTAACGTATCACTTGCATGTTGAATGACGCGGTTGGTGGCGCGGATATGCTTATTTCTTGTGACGCGTGCGTCATCGTTGACGCTCCAGGGCGCGGGTGAGCAGTCTGGAGATGGCCACGCTCCGGCCGACGCCGACGTCCTTGTGCTCAATTTCGACACTAAGGGCCACATGAAGCGCACGGTCTTCGGTGGTTTCGAAGAGCCCGGGGGCTTCCACGGCTTGCAGTACTCGTTCGGCTACCAGGTCGTGGAGTTCCGCGGCCTGAGCGCAGTCACGAAGGCGTTCGGGCACATCGAGAAGGTGAAGCCGAGGTTGGCGCTTTGGCTGCTGCCCTTCTTCAACGGCGATGGGCACGGCATGTTGGCCAACTTCTCCTCGGGCCACAGGCCTTCCTCCGCCGCATCCCCCTTCTTCCTCGAGAGGGGGGAGGAAGGCAGGGGCCATCAAAGGACTCCTTCCTCTCTCTCTCTCTCTCTCACTCTCTCGCGCGCGCACGCACGCACACAAGTGTCGCACAGCGAGCTCAAGCTGCTGGTTGCCTCTCTCGTTGGTCACGGGGTAGGAGCTCTTGCTCCTGCTCTTCCCCTGGCAGGCACCTGAGGGGGCAAGCTTGCTGCGAACGAGACGGGGAGAGGAGTGCTAGCCACACTTGGGCTTTCCTCCGCCTGCTTCCTCCTTACTCCTCGAAGGGCAAGGGGACAAGCAAAGGCCCTTCTCCCTGTCCACCTGTCCATCATCATCAGCAGCAGCATCATCATCCTCATCCTCGTCCTCATCATCATCTTCATCTTACGTAGCACCCCGCAGTTGCGGATAAGAGTGAGGGGTGGCGAGGACGTCGGCAGTCTGCGGGGTGGGTCGCGGGTCGGTCGTGGGGTGGGTCGCGGGTCGGTCGCGCGTGGGTCGCGGGCCGGGTCGCGGATGGGTCGCGGGCCGGGTCGCGGGTGGCACGATTACAAACAACAACAACAACAACAACAACAATCACTTTACCCGAACGCTCAGTGTTCTCACCAGTGCCAGGGTCTTCATGCGACGCCAGCCAATACCCCCACTTTGTGGGGGGGCAGTGCAAGCTCTACCAAATATCCACACGACTCTTCGCCACCACCCACACCCAGCTTCCCGCCCTATGACGTTCGGACACTTCACTTCGTGGCCTGCGGACGACCGTGGCTACTACACTGGCGTGGAGTACACACCCACAGAAGTTGTTAAGCCTACGTTCGTACACCCACAGATTCGGACAGCGCGCGCGGGTAGAAATTTTGAAAAGTCGTGCAGGTGTTTTTCGAGGACCTACGGTGCGATTCGTGTGATTTTATGATGCGCGGTGCTAAAATTCTTAAGAAGCCCAATGGTTTTTGGAGATTTCGGCGTGCGCGCGCGAAGAAAAAACGAATGTGTCCCGCATGGTATTATTTGACAGGGATGATGGCCCTGGCAGGTGCGCAACCGTTGTCGCAGAAGTTCGAAAAAGTTGCTCGCAAAAGCCCGTTTGACAGAAATGTTTAAAAAGTGTTGGTTTTCCTACGAATCCGCAAGAGCGCGCGGGATGAGATTTTGACATTTTTTGTTGAAAAACCATTGGTTTTTTGATGTTTTTATGTTAAAATCGCTCCGAACACTAAGCTTTTGGAAGGATTTCGTCTTGCGCGCGCGAATGTCCACTTTACTTTATTTTTTTGCAAGGGATTCTTGAAATTTGATTATATTAGAACAAGAAATGTCATTTTATAGTGTTTTTTTGCAAGGGAAAGCGGATTACAACAAAACAACCGGATCTTGATCACATCGAATTACCTGAGGCTTCCTCACGAAAATGATGAAAATGTAGCTGCGGCCTAGGCGGCGCAGGGGGGCCGTGCACCAGGGGTCCCAACAATAATTATTCTTTAGAATTAATAATGTTCAACAACAACAACATCAACAACAACAACATCATCATCATCATCATCAACAACAATCAGTTTACCTTCACGCGCGATGTTTCCTCACGAAGCATGCGACCATCGTGATAACCATCCACATCATGGGGGACTATTGTTCTATAGCGGGGTCCGTTATTCCCATTCCTAGATCTCCTGCCCAATGAGGTTTTGCAAACACCTCCTCCGAGGAATTTCAACATATCCCGCCTCGAAAACACATGCCCGCGCCTTGCTGCGCCGATGCGAGGCGGCCAGTGGAAACCCAGCGAAGGGTAAAGCACAAGGAAGTACCGAACGACAGGATTGCCTTGGTGGGGATGGGGGCTGTCGGCGGTGAGGCAAGGACCTAGCCCTGAATAGAAAGGGGAGAAGTCTCGAGCAGGGCTGGTGTTGTTGCTGGGAGCGGTGCCAATGCTGAAGAAAGTAGGGCGCTAGTCCAGTGTAAAACAAAACGAAGTCCCGAGGAGGAACACCGCCTTGAGTAAGAAAGGAGGAAGCATCGAGCGGGAGCCGTGGTTTTGTCGGGACGGGGGCTGCCGGCGGCGAGGAACAGCACCGTCCCGAGGAAAAAGAAGAAATCTCGAGCGGGAGCGTTGTTCTTGCTGGGAGCGGCGCCAACTCAAAAGAGAGTAGGGCGCCAGTCCAGCGTAAAACGGAAGGAAGTCGCGGGCGGGAACGCTGGTTTTGTTGGTGCGGCGGCTTTCGGCGGCGAGGAGGAGCACCGCCTTGAGGAAAAAAATGAGGAAACATCGAGGGTTTTGTCGGGACGGGGGTTGTCGGCGGCGAGGAACAGCACCGTCTTCAGGAGAAATGGAGGGAGCCTCGAGCGGGAGCGTTGTTCTTGCTGGGAACGACGCCAATTCAAAAGAGAATTGGGCGCCAGTCCAGCGTAAAACGGTAAGAAGTCTCGGGCGGGAGCACTGGTTTTGTCGGGGCGGCGGTTTTCGGCGGCGAGGAGGAGCATCGCCTTGAGTACAAAGGGAGGAAACCTCGAGCGGGAGCGCTGTTTTTGCTGGGGGCGGCGCCGATGAGAAAAAGACTAGCGCGCCAGTCCAAGGTAAAACGGGAGGAGGTCTCGAGCGGGAGCGCTGGTTTTGTTAGGACGGCGGCTTTCGGCGGCGAGCAAGAACACCAGCCCAAAGTAAAAAAGGAGGAAGTCTCGAGCGGGAGCGTTGTTGTTATTGGGGGCCGGTTTTGGCGGTCACCCAAACCGCTCGAGCGTGAGCCTCATTTTCAATGAAAATGTAGCCGGCGCCTCGGCGAGAGCGCCAGGGCGCCTATAAGGGGTCCAACAATAATAAGTGTTCAGTAATTAGCATTCAACAACAACAACAACAACAACAACAACAACAACAACAACAACAACAACAACAACAACAACAACAGCAGCAGCAGCAGCAACAACAACAATCATTTTAAGACTGTTCGCCCTTATCTGCTCGAGTGTCCAATAACGCCTGTTTCCCAAACCCTCGATACCCGCCCTCTTCGTTTTCGATCGAACCCCTTTTGGGGAATCTGCTTTTCTTCCCTGCAGGCCGCGCCCCGGCAAGCGGCGGGGCGGCCGCGGACCGTCGGCCTGGCCAGCGGCAGCGCTGATCGGCGGGGCGGCCGCGGACCGTCGACCCGACCCCAAGAGGGACGGACAGGGGACCGACCACGACGACGACGACGACGACGACGACGACGACGACGACGACGACGTCGACGGCGGCGGCGGCGACGACGACGACGACGGCGACGACGACAACGAGCGAAAGCGAGAGCGAAAGAGAACGACAGCAGGGCCACAAGGAGACGAAGTAGGCCACGAAGGGCAACAGCGGGGACACGAAGGGAGTGCGTATGGGGCCACGAAGAGCGCGAAGGAGCGGGGGCCACGACGAGCAGATAATGCGGGGCCACAGAAGGCAACGATGGGGTCAGTGAGGGTAGAAATTGGGCCACGCAGGACAGATGCATATGGGGCCACCACGGGCGCGAACGAGCGGGGGCCACGAAGGGCATCCATATATAGGGCCACGAAGGGATGCAACGGGGGCCACGAAGAGCGCGAAGGGGGCCACGAAGGGCTGCAACGGGGCCACGAAGGGCTGCAACGGGGCCACGAAGGGCAGCGAGGGGGCCACGAAGGGCTGCAACGGGGCCACGAAACACAGCGAGGGGGCCACGAAGGACTGCAATGGGGCCACGAAGGGCAGCGAGGAGGCCACGAGGGGCTGCAACGGGGCCACGAAACAAAGCGAGGGGGCCACGAAGGGCTGCAACGGGGCCACGAAACAGAGCGAGGGGGCCACGAAGGGCTGCAACGGGGCCACGAAGGGCAGCGAGGAGGCCACGAGGGGCTGCAACGGAGCCACGAAACAAAGCGAGGGGGCCACGAAGGGCTGCAACGGGGCCACGAAACAGAGCGAGGGGGCCACGAAGGGCTGCAACGGGGCCACGAAGGGCAGCGAGATCCCGATTCCGAGGTAATCTACGAGGGAGTCCCAAGCGTGAGCGCGACTCCTGGGTGCCTAGGTGTCGGGCGCGCGGCGCTGGAGTAGATTGCAAGAAGTTCCAAGGCAAGGGCGTTATTCTTCAGTAAACTGCAAGCAAGTCCCCAGCGAGAGCGCGACTCCAGAGCGCCGGGAGAATATGCGTTGTGCTTGCACATTAATGATCTGTTGCTGCGTTCAGTGCCGTATGTTGTACTTATGCTCAAGTTTTTTCCAGGAGTGGTTTTCCCTGATGGGGGCTCAGTCTGCCCTCATCGAGACCTTCCAGTCCGCAGGGATCCGCGCCTTCGAGCTGCTGGCGCTGCGACAGTCCCTCCTCTCGGCGGCGCCGCAGTGCCCCGCTGTCTCGCTGGCGTGCCCGCCCGCGAACGTCACGTGCCCCATCCAGGTCTGCCCAGCGCTGGCCTGGCCCACGCCAGCGCGCCCCGTGCCGCTGGTGAACCTCTCCTGCCCGCCTGCAGGAGTGGAGCTCGGCCCTGACGGGCTCGACGTTCCCTCGGCCTGCTGGGGCTACCTGGCGGGAGTCTCTGCAGGGCTCGGGCTGGGCGGAGCAGTCTGGCGGCGGGGCGGCCGCACCGACGCCGAGGCGACAGCGGTGGGAGACCGAGCTCGAGAGCAGTTGCAGCTAATCAGGAGGCGCAATGGCGAGAGTAGGTGACTACGTGCTGTTCCAGTATGACTTACCTGGACCGCCGGTGTATCATGAGAGGCTCGTGACTGGTGTCTCAATAGGGGATCCAGGTCTTGTCAGTACGGTTTCGCCAGATGGAGACCACTATGCAGAGTACACGACGTCAGATGACCTCAGGGATGTGCGGTGGTCGGGGGCGCAAGGCGCGACCCCACCTGGAGTCAACCCAGCCCACGTCTACCGCTTCCGCCAGGTGCCGACGGCGGCAGAGGTCCAGCAGCTCATCCGCGAAGGCTCGCTCCTCGTCGGGGGAGTGGCTCCGCTTGCTGCCGATGCTCCCGCGGCTGCGGCAGCGCCCGTGGCGGCTCCTCCCGCGGCGGCCGCACCACAGGGAGCCATCGTGCCTCGCGGCGCCGGCGCGGTGGGAGGGGTCCCGCGCGCTGGAGCCGCGCCCGCCCCCGCATTGGCTGGCACGGTGTGGCTGGCGATCGAGGACTTCCAGGGGTTGCGGCGCGGTGAGCAGATGCCTGACCCTCTCCCTCAGGGCGCCGTCATTCACGGGGAACTGGCGCTGGTTCCTCATGGTGGGGGCTTCGTCGGAGCTCGACGGGTTGCCCTGGCCGACGTGGACGCCTTCGTGGTGGACGACCTACGCGCGCTGCCCGTGCGCTACAACCAGCAGGGGGTGCGCCGCCGCCCACACAGTGAGGCCGTGGACATGCAGATCGTCGACGAGCCTGGGGGTGGGATCATGCTTCAGGGCCCGCGCACTACGGATTGGGTGCTGAGGTCGTATCGCGATGCTGGGCTCACGCCAGTCACTCATCATTCGAACTGGCTGAGATCGGCACGCATCCCTGATGGAGATCGCTCGGTTCACGAACACGAGGTGCTGTGCCACGTGCTGGAGGCCATCGTGACCGTGGACCAGCTCAACGCCCCAGCGCTCCAGAGCGCGGAGCTCGTCGTGCGCAGGATCCAGGTCATAGAGGACGCTCACTCGGCATCTCCCTCGAACCCCGACTACTCCGCGGCCGACGAGTTCATGGGCTGGGCCACGCATCGCCAAGGCGCCGCGGTCGCCCCCGACCTGCAGCGCCACGTGGCCGCGGGCATGCGCGACAGGGCCGCGATCCTCAAGGAGGCTCGCAAGGCGAAGGAGGAGCAGAAGCTGCGCCGCGGCAAGGGGGGCGGCAGGACCGACGCCAGCGGCACTGGCGGGCAGGGATCACGACGGCTCCCAGTCGCGGGGGCTGGCCGGCCCGCGACGGACACAAGGCCTGTGGTGCCTCGGCGGCACGCTCCTTCCGTCCTCGCACTGTTCCTGGCGCTGAGGGTCGTGGGGCACCGGCCGACTGTGGCCGTGGGGGCCCAGCGGCACGCACCTCACGCCCTCCAGCCAGGGCAGGCCTCGGGGATCGCAATGTAACGACCGTCCGAGGATCGTGTGCCATGGGACGCCCTCCTGGGCTGAGAGCAGCTGATGATCGCCAACGTGATCTGTTCCCGCTGCCCTCCATTCAGCCGACTCCGCCTACTTCTGCGCCAGCGTCTACGTCGACGAGGCGAAGGCTGGCTCATAGGCGGCAGACGGAGCAGTGTGCCAATGATGCCATTGCGGGTCTCAACGCTCTCCATCCTCCCTGCGAGCAGCGTGGGCCCATCACGGCGGCCCAGCGACTCGCGACCGCCACCATTTTGAACGAGGTCAGGATGGCCCCGAAGTCTGACACTCATTTTTCTCGCCGTGGAGCCGCGAAGGAGCTCCTGGCTTCCAGCCTGTCCTACACCGCGGACGAGGCACCGAGTCCTGTGGTAAGGTACGTCAGATCCCGAGTCGACATCCCAGAAGTGGGTGCGGTCATACCTCCTGTCGAGTCGGTGCTTGACGGGATCGGGAGGAGTTACGTGCTGGACTACGAGCAAGCGATGATGAAGACTCCTGACGAGTGGTCCCGCGTCCTGGATAGCGAGCCGCCCGTCACTCCCTGTATGGACGAAGTTTTGAAGCGTGACCCTGCGGCGTATCATGCCTTCATCGGCGACCTGGTGAAGGCTAACATGCTGGGGTTCATCTATCGCCCGAAGGACCTGGTCACCCCTTTCTTCGTGGCCAAGAAGAGTGGAGCACAGCGTCTCGCATGGGACGCTAGAGTGCCAAATCGACGTTTTCGCGACCCGCCGCCGTTGGCCATGGGGACATCGGCTGCGCATGGTCGCCTCCAGCTACCTGATGATCGTGAGGAGGACGGCAGCTTCAGCACCAAGCTCTTCTGCGCCCAGGCGGATGTGCGCAACTACTTCTACGCTCTCGGCCTGAGGGAGGAGTTGGGACTGTTCTTCTCGCTGCCGCCGGTGTCGCAGGCTTCGTTGTCGCAATGGGGGGTTGAGGCAGTGGACACTCCCGAGGGCCCCTCAGGGGGCTGGGTGTGGCCGTTCCTGCGGGTCGTTCCGATGGGCTGGTCTTGGGCTTTCTGGCTTGGGCAGCGTGCGAACGCGCACGTCTGCTGCTCTGCCTCGGGGCTCGGGTTCCCGCGGGTGCTGACCGATCACGGTCCGGTGCCCCCGCTCGACGGGGGGGTCCCTTGCCTCCTCCCCTATTGCGATAACATCAACGTCATCGGCACCGACCCTGTCAGATGCAATGCCCTGATGCACCAGATCTGCGACGCCTGGAAGAAGCATGGCGTGCAGATCCACGAGGTGGTTGAGGCCACTGACGTCTTCACCAGCCTCGGCCGCCTGATCGATGGCGCGTCTGGGCGAGTTTTCTCACGGCCCGAGCGCTCTGAGCGCCTCCGCCGGGCCTCACTGTGGCTAGAGCAGCGCCCTAGAGTCACGGGGAGGGAGGTGGAGAGGTACGTGGGTCATCTCATCGATCATTTGATGTTGAAGAGGGAGCTGCTCTCGATCCTCAGGAGTTTGTATGATTTCGTCAGGGATTGCTATCATGTGCGAGCCCGTCTCTGGCCCTCAGCTGCCCGCGAAGTCGAGCAGTGCCGTCGCCTGCTGCCGCTGATGTCGGCTAATATTCGGCTTCAGTGGTCGCCGACGGTATTCGCTTATGACGCTTGCCTGACGGGTATGGCGACGTGCCAGACAACACTGTCATCAGATCTCGTCAAACGTATCGGGTCAGTCAGTGAGAGATGGAGATATCGCATGCCTTCGGCTATCTCGGCACGCCGTTCCGCGCTGGGAGCCCGTTCTGGAGGCTACGAGGCCTCGGAGGGGCCCTTCGACGTCTTCAGCGACATCGAGACCGTCAAGGCCCCCAGGAGCACCAGCATGGACCTCGTCAAGGACCCCTGGGAGCTCAACCCGCAGTTCACAGAGGTGCCCGTACAGGCTCTGCAGGGCCCCCAGTGGAAGCAGGTGGTCTCGGCCAGGGTTCACGTCAAGGAGCCCATCACGATTATCGAGGGGAGGGCTTCAAACATGACATCTCGTCACATCACAAGGGCCCAGGCCTCTTTTGGTCTCCGTCATCTACGTTTCGGGGACAACCTCGGCACCGTGCTCGCGCTCGGACGCGGGCGATGCTCCTCTTATCCCCTTCTGCTGTGCTGCCGCAGGGAGGCCGCTTATTCCGTCGCCACTGCGTCGCGGTTCGAGCATCGGTGGATACCTTCGGAGCTCAACCCCTCCGATGAAGGGTCGAGGCGCTGGGACGCCAAGTCGGGAGGTATTTCGCCTGCCCCGCGCGGCGTCCGTCTGGCGCCTGGCTGCCCGCCCCGAGATCGTGCAGAAGAGCCTTGTGACGGGCAGGCCGTTCGTTGGGGCGACGAAGGAGGTGAGGATCGCTCACCGTCTGCGGGCCCATGGGGCTTTGACGATGGTGGGGGAGGACGAGAGGAGCGTCCTGGACTGGAACGCGGTGGCCCCCGAGACCCTGGCCTACTACAGGGACGCTTTCGACGGCTTCCAGATGTTCGTGGGCCTCTTCGAGCTGCCGCTGCACACCGCTGCGCAGGTCGCCCTGGCGCCGATGAACTACGCCGACTACGCCTGGAGCATCGGGCTCGAGAGAGCTGCCGTCCTGAACACATATGCCGCGCACATCTCGGGGCACCCCGACTTTTCCCGAAAGAAGTCGCTCCGCCTGCCGCGTCTCTATCGGGCCCTCCAGGGCTCGAAGCGCCTGGTCCCAGGCCAGACGCGCCCGACCATGCCCTGGCCCGTGGTCGCGCTGGTCGCACTGGTGATGGCCACGCAGCGGGGGTCCCAGCACGCAGCGCTCATGGTGGTGACAATGTTCGGGGTGTACCTCATGCCCTCCGAGGACGTCGGCCTGCGCGAGCAGGACCTCTTCCTCCCCTTGGGCTTGTGCACGGTCTACGGCTTCAACCTGCACCCCATCGCGATGGGCGAGTACAGCAAGACCAGCTTGTCGGACGAGAGCCTGCCCCTCAGCTCGGTCGAGGTGCCCTGGCTGGGCCCGCGGCTGGCGCGCGCGAGGTCGGGGGACCCACAGGCGACGCGGTTTCGTCTCACCACCGCGCAGCTCGTCGCCCAGTGGCGCCAGTCGCTGGAGCGGGCCGAGGTGCCCACCAGGTACTTGCCCTACCAGCTCCGCTACGCGCAGGCCACCAGGTACGCGCCCCCCAGGTACGCGCCCACCATGGACGCGCAGGTGGCGCCCGCGCCCAGCAGGTGCCTCCCCGCTCCTTCTGCCAAGGTGCCTCAGCCCGCGCCCGTGCCAGGCCTTTCGTCGAACTCATGTGCGGCTCCGCCGCCTTGGCCAAGGCCGTCCACGCCGCCGGCTGGGCTTCGGAGGGCTGGGACTACGCCGACGACCCGCGAGCCGACCTTCTTGAGGAGTCCTTCATCGACAGTCTGGTATTGAGGATATCAAGGAAGGAGGTCGCGGGGGTGCATGTCGGCCTGGACTGCAAAACGCGGAGCCGGGCAAGGAAGAATGATGGTCGGGGTCCGCCGCCACTCAGGGACGATGCGAATTTGCACGGCCTCCCTCTGTTGGCGGCGGCAGACGCTGAGAAGGTGATGATCGCCAATCGTCTGCTCGCTAATGTTCTGCGCCTGCTGGCTGCTGCCATCGAGGCGAGAATCCCCTTCTCCCTCGAGAATCCTCGCTCGTCTCGCCTCTGGCTGGTCCCGGAGCTTCTGGACATGGCCCGCGACGCTCACGCCGAATGGGCGTCGGTTGATTATTGCCAGTATCAGGTCCCCTGGAAGAAGTCGACTACCTTTTTGCTATTCAATTGGCTGCCAGCGCAGCCGTCCCTCCGCCTGTGTACAGGCTGTCAAAAAAGGTGTAGTGCAACGGGTAAGGCACACATAACACTGAAGGGTAAAGACCCTCTCGGTGTGTTCTGGACTTCGAGGGCGTGTCCTTACCCTGCGGCGCTCTGCAAAGATCTTGCTGCGCTGGTGGTGGCCAAGGCCAAGACACATGATGGCAGTGGGTAGGGGCTCAGAGTCTTGAATGCCGCTCGCTCTGTCCGTTCAGGTCAGCTCCATCGAGCTGCCCTGTCACCGCCCGCTGCTCGTTCTCTTGATTTGCTTCGAGGCAGCGGAGCATGCCGAAGAAAAATGGATCTTGGCACGGGTAGCAGCCTAAGCTCATGCGTTGTGCTTGCACATTAATGATCTGTTGCTGCGTTCAGTGCCGTATGTTGTACTTATGCTCAAGTTTTTTCCAGGACCCGCCAGCCTTCCCCATCTTCCTCCTGCCTGGGCGTCACTTCGCCAACCCAGGGGGCTCAGAGTCTTGAATGCCGCTCGCTCTGTCCGTCCAGGTCAGCTCCATCGAGCTGCCCTGTCACCGCCCGCCGCTCGTTCTCTTGATTTGCTTCGAAGCAGCGGAGCATGCCGAAGAAAAATGGATCTTGGCACGGGTAGCAGCCTAAGCTCATATATATATATATATATATATATATATATATATATATATATATACATATATATATATATATTCTAAGGAAGTCACAAGCGGGAGCGCGATTCCTGAATAAAACGCGAGGAAGTCTCGGGCGGGAGCGGGGGTCCTGGCTAATTGTGAGGAAGTCTCAGGCGGGAGCCGCTGTTGTTGTAAACCGGGGACCAACGACAGTTTGACCCTCAATATCTTCTTTGATAGAAAACAGGATGCGAGCCCGGGGAATGGCACTTCAATCAAAAAAACAATGTGCACCAGACGGGGGGGATCAACAATAAGTATTCTTCCGAAATGAAAGTTCAACAACAACAACAACCACAACAACAACAAAAATAACAACAACAACAACAACAACAACAACAACAACAACAACAATCATTTTACCCGAACGCTCAGTGTTCTCACCAGTGCCAGGGTTTTCATGCGACGCGAGACAATACCCCCACTTCGTGGGGGGGCAGTTCAAGCTCTACCAAATATCCAAACGACTCTTCGCGACCACCCAAACCCAGCTTCCCGCCCTATGACGTTGGGACACTTCACTTCGTGGCGTGCGGACGACCGTGGCTACTACACTGGCGTGGGGTACACACCCACAGAACTTGGTCACTTATTCGGGGCGCGCGTGTGCCCAGCATCCTGCAATTGTGACATACAATACATGACACAGACAGACAGAGAGAGAGACAGAGAGCAGACAGAGAGAGAGACAGAGAGAGCGGAGTTGGTCACATTTTTGGGGCAAGTTCCTGAGATCGTCGTGTTTTTTGTTGGTCTTGCGCGCGCGAATGTCCACTTTACTTTTTTTTTGCAAGGGAGTATTGAAATTTGATTATGTTAGAACAAGAAAAAGTAGCTCGCGCGAGCTCATGTAACATAAATGTTGAAAAACCAGAGTCGGACAGCGCGCGCGGAATGAAATTTGGACATTTTTTTTTGAAAAACCAGTGGGTTTTTTGATGTTTTTATGTTGAAATCGTTACGAAACCTAAGGTTCTGGAAGGATTTCGTCTTGCGCGCGCGAATGTCCACTTTACCTTATTTTTTGCAAGGGATTATTGAAATTTGATTATGTTAGAACAAGAAAAAGTAGCTCGCGCGAGCTCATGTAACATAAATGTTGAAAAACCATTGGTTTTGTGGGATTCGGACAGCGCGCGCGGAAGGACATTTTGACAATTTTTTCTTAAAAAACCATTGGGTTTTTGATGTTTTTATGTTAAAATCGTTACGAAACCTAAGGTTTTGGAAGGATTTCGTCTTGCGCGCACGAATGTCCACTTTACCTTATTTTTTGCAAGGGATTCTTGCAATTTGATCAAGTAAGAACAAGAATTTTCATTTTCTATTGTTTTTTGCAAGGGAAAACGGATCAACAAAACAACCGGATCCGGACACAATCCACTTTTCTGAAGCTTTCGCGAAAAAATGATGAAAATGTAGCTGCGGCCTAGGCGCGGCGCAGAGGTCGCGCACCAGGGGTCCCAACAATAATAATTCTTTAGAAGGAATAATATTCAACAACAACAACAACAACAACAACAACAACAACAACAACAATCATTTTACCCGAACGCTCAGTGTTCTCACCAGTGCCAGGGTTTTCATGCGACGCGAGACAATACCCCCACTTCGTGGGGGGGCAGTTCAAGCTCTACCAAATATCCAAACGACTCTTCGCGACCACCCAAACCCAGCTTCCCGCCCTATGACGTTGGGACACTTCACTTCGTGGCGTGCGGACGACCGTGGCTACTACACTGGCGTGGGGTACACACCCACAGAACTTGGTCACTTATTCGGGGCGCGCGTGTGCCCAGCATCCTGCAATTGTGACATACAATACATGACACAGACAGACAGAGAGAGAGACAGAGAGCAGACAGAGAGAGAGACAGAGAGAGCGGAGTTGGTCACATTTTTGGGGCAAGTTCCTGAGATCGTCGTGTTTTTTGTTGGTCTTGCGCGCGCGAATGTCCACTTTACTTTTTTTTGCAAGGGAGTATTGAAATTTGATTATGTTAGAACAAGAAAAAGTAGCTCGCGCGAGCTCATGTAACATAAATGTTGAAAAACCATTGGTTTTGTGGGAGTCGGACAGCGCGCGCGGGATGAAATTTGGACATTTTTTTTTGAAAAACCATTGGGTTTTTGATGTTTTTATGTTGAAATCGTTACGAAACCTAAGGTTCTGGAAGGATTTCGTCTTGCGCGCGCGAATGTCCACTTTACCTTATTTTTTGCAAGGGATTATTGAAATTTGATTATGTTAGAACAAGAAAAAGTAGCTCGCGCGAGCTCATGTAACATAAATGTTGAAAAACCATTGGTTTTGTGGGATTCGGACAGCGCGCGCGGAAGGACATTTTGACAATTTTTTCTTAAAAAACCATTGGGTTTTTGATGTTTTTATGTTAAAATCGTTACGAAACCTAAGGTTTTGGAAGGATTTCGTCTTGCGCGCACGAATGTCCACTTTACCTTATTTTTTGCAAGGGATTCTTGCAATTTGATCAAGTAAGAACAAGAATTTTCATTTTATAGTGTTTTTTGCAAGGGAAAACGGGTCAACAAAAAACCGGATCCGGTAACAATCCACTTTTCTGAAGCTTTCGCGAAAAAATGATGAAAATGTAGCTGCGGCCTAGGCGCGGCGCAGAGGTCGCGCACCAGGGGTCCCAACAATAATAATTCTTTAGAAGGAATAATATTCAACAACAACAACAACAACAACAACAACAACAACAACAACAACAACAACAACAATTACGCCACCGAGGAACCCCACATACCGAGTTTATTTCCCATGTGTACCATCGGTGCTTCTGCTGCTGTTCCTCCTTCTCCTCCTCGGTGTCCTCCTCCTGCTGCTGGTTTTGCTGCTGCTGCGTTTGCTGCTGCTGCTGCTGCGTCTGCTGCTGCAGCTGCTGCTGCTGCTGCTGCCGCTGCTGCTGCCCCACCTCCCCCTCCTCATCCTCCTCCTCCTCCTCCTCCTCCTCCTCCTCTCCTCCTCCTCCTCCTCCTCCTCCTCCTCCTCCTCCTCCTCCTCCTCCTCCTCCTCCTCCTCCTCCTCCTCCTCCTCCTCCTCCTCCTCCTCCTCCTCCTCCTCCTCCTCCTCCTCCTCCTCCTCCTCCTGTACCTCCTCCTCCTACCTCCCAGCGCACCCCTTGTGGCGTCGACGACATGCCACGCCTGCCACGCCCTGGGAGCCTGCAACGCATAGGGCCCCCACCCCCAGCGCACCCCCTGCGGCGTCGAGGAAATGCCTCGCCTGCCACGCCTTGGGACCCTGCAGCGCATAGGGCCCCCACCCCCAGCGCACCCCCTGCGGCGTCGAGGAAATGCCACGCCTGCCACGCCCTGGGAGCCTGCAGCGCCTAGGGCCCCCCCCCAGCGCACCCCCTGTGGCTAAGAGGAAATGCCACGCCTGCCACGACCGTCGTGCATAGCGGCCGAGCTCAGGGACCACCCCCCTGCACACCCGCTCTGGTGCGAGAAGGAGAAGGGGAGGGGGGAGGTGTGAGACGCGGGTGCGGCGCGGCAGGGAAAAAAACAGAACCCCACGAAACATGTGGGGAACAACAATCATTTTAAGATTGTTCGCCCTTATCTGCTCGAGTGTCCAATAACGCGTATTTCCCAAACCCTCGATACCCGCCCTCTTCGTCATCGAACGAACCCCTCTTGGGGGGGCATACTTTTCTTCCCTGCAGGCCGGGCCCCGGCAAGCAGCGGGGCGGCCGCGGACCGTTGGCCTGGCCAGCGGCAGCGCTGATCGGCGGGGCGGCCGCGGACCGTCGACCCGATCCCAAGAGGGACGGACAGGGGACCGACCACGACGACGACGACGACGACGACGACGTCGACGACGACGACGGCGACGATGACGACGACGACGGCGACGACGACGACGAGCGAAAGCGAGAGCGAGAGAGAACGACAGCAGGGCCACGAAGGACCCGAAGTAGGCCACGAAGGGCGACAGCGGTGACACAAAGGGAATGCGTATGGGGCCACGAAGAGCGCGAACGAGCCGGGGGCCACGAAGGGCAGAGAATGCGGGGCCACAGAAGGCAACGATGGGGTCAGTGAGGGTAGAAATTGGGCCACGCAGGACAGTGAGGGGGCCACAAACGGCGACAGCGGGGCCACGAAGGGCATGCACATGGGGCCACAACGGGCGCGAACAAGCGGGGGCCACGAAGGGCATACGTATGTTAGGCCGCGGAGGGCAAGGACGGGGCCACTGAGGGCAGCAACGGGGCCACGAAGGGCAGCGAGGGGG